TCGGATAATAGTGAAAAACATCGGGTCAAACGCAAGCTAGCTGTAAATTAAGCAAAAGTTTCGCGCCTGTGAAAAGCGAAAACATATCATATCCGATCTCAACATAAAAAGGGAAGTGATGTTTTTAGTTCGGGTTTTTCGAGGCCTGCGGGCGGTTTTGTAGATGTTCCGAAAAAAATTACAAAAATTTTTTACTTGTATCTACTGAACTCCTGAAGTAAGGTTTTTAGGAGAAATGACTTTAGGAGAAATGACTTTTAGGAGAAATGACTTTTAGGAGAAATGACTTTTAGGAAAAATGACTTTGAGGAGAAATGACTTTTAGGAGAAATTACTTTTAGGAGATATGACTTTTAGGAGAAATGACTTTAGGAGATATGGAATTAGGAGATATGTATTTAGGAGATATGGAAATGACCCATTTCCAGTCAATCTTGTCGGACAAGCTTTTTATGACGAAATAGAACAGTGCCAGTTTTTTCAAATTTACCTATGTAGTTTTTTCGAAAGCCATTTTTTCGAAAAATTTGCGTCGCGCTACTAAAAAGAAAAACAAAACCTACATGTACCAACCAAAAGGAATGGCAGTTTATCGTAATTCTGATCTTCTGAAGCGTTTTTCGAAAATATGACTTTCAAGGACTTCACTTGTAGAAAAAAATGAGTCGGACGCCTGGTTTGCAAAAACACGATCGGCAAAAAAACTCACCCGGTAATCTGATTGACGACGCCGAGTGTCAGCTTGCCAACATAATCATCAGAATATTCGGTGACAATCGTGCCCTTGTATTCGACGAGCTGCTTCCGACACGTCAGCGACAGCTGGTGCCTTTTGTGGTCGACGCTCATGATGCGGCACTTGATATTTTGATCTAAACCAAGAAACCAATAAATACATTCAAGCCATGCATGCCATACCATGCTTGAAAAGCTGATCCAGTTGTTGGATGTTGCGCTCGGTGGCCATGCCGGTGGTGATCCAGCCCGGCAAGCTGTCAAAGACCTAAACTAGTTTTAGAAAAAAGATGAATTTTTCCTAATTACAAAATCTTTTTAAGATGAAAAAAATCAGTGTTTCAACATTTTTTATGATCCCTAATCGTAGAAAACTTCATAAATTTCGATTTTTCGACCAAAAACAACCAATTTCCACACAGAATTGGAAGCCTTCAAAAACCTTCTAGCTCTCAAAATGGTTTATCCGCTATTCATATTGTAATAAGAAACCCATTAAAAAAAGTACCTTCACCGCGATGCCGTTCGAGTAGATACGCTCAACTTTAGCATCGACAACGCCACCGGGTTGCGCGTCCTGAACAAAGTTTCAAGTGAAAAATCCAACTAAACTCACGGTAAGCGAAACGGCCGCCTGCTTCAAGATATCTTTCCTGGTCGCCACGAGCACCGAACGTTCCAGCATGTCGAAGCGAATGATACGGCATTGGTGCTGCGAGCCCGGGGCGTAGTGTTTCACTAAAAAGTCGAAATGAAATCGCCGAAATCAGTTTCGGTGTAATTTTTCGAATTGATCTTACTCATATCCTTGGCCGGCTCGAGCTTCTCGACGCTTGCGTACGCATCGAAGAGGCACTGTTTATCCCCTTCGGCCGGAAACGCGAATCGACAGCCGCCCTTTTCGAGATGTCCCAATGACGTGCAAACGACCGTGTCGCCAATCCGATGATTCTAAAGTAGCAAATAGTGATTTCACACAACCCATATATGCCTAGGAATTTAATGCGTATTTTCAAGGTGTTTTTGACCAAATTGAGCTATAGTTCCTGTAGCAAGCTCGTTTAGAAAACTTAGAAAAGAAGCATGTTTAGTGAAAAATCGATATCTTATGCATTTAAAAAAAAAATCGATCCTAACAAAAGCGCCTGTTCGAGAGACGGGAATCACGGTGAACCCTCACCCCAAAAGTGGTCCTCTTCTCCGGCTTGCTGACGGCCACGACGTCCGGATGGGCGCTGAGGACCAACAGATTCGAATTTTGCTGGCACACGAGGACGACGGCCCGAATCGGCTTCACAAACTTCGATCTGTCATTGCGCAAACGGGGTGGAAGCATCCGGGAGCCCAGAAAGCCCTTGACGCCTAAAAAACGATGCATGAAGACCGAGATACTTTGTACCGTTTCCAAGTTCCACGACCATGCCATTCAACAACTCGCGGTCGGGGCTCACTTCGAGGATTGTACCGGGCATCAGATGATTGAGGTGAAGCGACTGAACAAATCAGAGGTATATTTAGTTATATTTACAGCGGAAAATATCTCAGAATTTTAAGAACCTCTTCGTTTAAAAATTTGAATCTAAATGTTCGTTTTTTTAGCTATAAAATCTATACAAAATCTCTAATGTATTTGAGGAATAGTAAAAAGTGCAGAAACAGCTATTCTATTTACAATATATTTAAATTTTACCTCAACGGCAGCTTGCGACAATATTTCAGTTTCCACGTACGGCGAGACGGTGAGCACGCGAGAGGTAATCTTCTCGATACGAACCTAAAATCACATTCTAAGAAACGCCTGAAAAGTATACCAAAACAGGCTGCCCGACGACGAGACCAGTGCCGTTGACGGGGATGAAGCCCTTGAGAGCGCCGAAGCCCAGGTCGCAGAGGACGCCTAGAAACAGTGATTTCCCACAATTGGATACCCAATTCCACCTTTATCCTCGATGCTCTCAACGGTGCCGCCGAGGACGAGGCCTTGGGTCAATTGAGAAGGGACGATGTGTTGATTGACCACCTTCGGGTCGCAGCTCGCCACGGGAGAGCAGTGAAAGACTCTGCCTTTGACTGAAAATAGATCTTTAAATGAGTCTAAAACATCGTTCTTAAAGAGATAGGGGCGGCATAAGTCAATCGATTACGCGAGGGAAAGAAAATGTCTCTGCGCCTCTCCCCTGGGAGCCCTCTCTCGCGCGAGATCGCCGCGGGACCTGTTGAACCCCCCCCTCCCCAAGGGGGGTTCAACAGATGCCGTCCTCATCTCTTTAAAACCAGATGGTTACAGTCGCTTCGCGACTGCAACCATCTGGCCTTCGGGCTACCCTACAGTACAGGTGGAGTGTCCTACTCCACCACATCCTTCCCTACTTCCATCAATACCCACGCTAACCGCTTCAGATCCCCCCCCCCATGGCTGAAATCCCCTTCAAAAACTACCTAAATACCTTCCTGATGGCTTCAGATACCCCCATGGCTGAAATCCCCTTCAAAAACTACCTGAATACTTCCCTGATGGCTTTAGATACCTCCCCTAGCCGAAATCCCCTTCAAAAACTACCTAAATACCTTCCTGATGGCTTTAGATACCTCCCCTAGCCGAAATCCTTTTAAAAACGAAAATAACGACGGACCGGATGGAATGAGAGAGAAAAAGAAATGAAATCCCCCGTGAAAATTTTCATCCACGAAACGCGCACCACCTGGCTCACTATGTCCAAAATCACCACAACCTCCGTCCCCCACCCCTTTTACTAAGGGAAAAACTTTCAAAGTTAATTTTAATAATTTAAATTAAAACTTTTTCGTAATTTTGTTATCAGTTTTGGGGTTTCTGACCACGCTCTATCCGAATCCGAAGAGACCTAAGCTCTAGCTCCTTTCCCCTTCGAGTTGAATCCGGGACCGGACAGACAGACACACACACAGACACCACTACTTTTTTATTATAGTTGATTGTCAGTTTCCCACATTTTGTCCAGTTTTTCATAGCTTTTTGCCGAAAAAGAATATTTTTCAAGTTGTACGCCCACTTCCCTGCCGTATCATGGTTTTCCTACACCTTAAAATATGTAAAATTCAATATTTAGACACTACCATGTCACCCGCACAAGACCATAAGACAAATTTCTTAGTTTCGCTAAAAATCTATATACCTTCTTTGGTGCTGGCCCGCTTGGTGACGCGAAAGGAGACGAACTGGCCCAGTTTGAACATCTCCTTCAATGGAACATCCTCATCGCGCAGCTTACTCAGGCACAGCTTGCCGACCTAAATTCATATAATAAAAATAAAGGCGTGTTTGAAACTCACATTTGCCACTGGAAGCTCTAACGTGTTGCGGTGGGCCGTCTGGAGGATAACTGTGGTTTCTCGACACTAAAAAAATGTTTGAAGCGTCAAAACGATCAATTACCGATCTGACAAGCCCGAGTCCCAGCACGCCTTCAATCAGATCCGACTCTGTCAATTTTCGATGCCAGATCGTCTCCTTGTCCTCGCGGACGTGGGCTCGCTTCCCGTCGTGAGACTCGGATTCATGGGATCTCTGCAAAAATGATGTAAGGAATCGATGTGCGCCAACCTTCTTTCCCTTAAAAACCTTCTTCTCGCGCAGCACGGCTTCTTCTTTTGAGTTGCGCGGAAAGTCTTCGTCCGGCATCTGAAAGACCGAAAAATCTATGACGTTGAGAGAAAAGGAATAGCCCCAGGTTGGAATGCCCGGCCGTCAGAAAGAAGAAAAACGATCTCAGCGGCGGAAAACTTGAATTTTTCCCGACATGCCTACATATTACCGCCATAGTAAGTATCTGAACAATCTTATTAGTAGAGTTCTAATATTTGAGGTGGAAAGCTGTTAATAATTTGGAAATTTAGTTGCAAATCAGAAAGCGTCACCTTTGACAAAAAACTATACTCAAAACTGACGTTACGGAAATCGGTGAAATTACCGCAATTTTCGTTCGAAGCATTGTAAAAAACCATCCCTTTGCCTCGCAGCAAATTTTGTCAAAATAAGGTAGTGCAACCAACTACTCTTTTCTGAATCCGACCAACAAAATGAACGTTGCAAAAACATGTTTATTTCGTCTGACAAGCTGAAGCAAAAAAAAGTAACAATACACAGCGAAAAGTGATGCGGAAGGAAGGAAGCTGACCAGTATTTAGTTGAGACGAGATCCGAAAAACAAACAAAGTGCACAATCAAATATACTGGGATGGGGAAGAGAAGCGGGCAAAAAAAGAAAAGGCCGGAAATAGACCTAATAATCATCATCGGAATCGTCGTAGTTTCGGCCGCGAATCGTCTTGGTGGGCTGCGGTTTTGCTGGTCGTGCGCGTTGTTCGCTCTGTTCTTTATCCTGCGGGTCGAGGGCTCCGTTCTCGCTCAGCCGCTTTTCGAGCACCTAAAAGCTGGCATGTAAGGTTCATCAACAAATGAAAAACAAAACCGATGGAGCTTTGGCATTATCGGGGGTGGCATATTTTGCTATATAACAGGGACAAGCGTTTCTAAACCATTTTTTTTTTATTTCTCAATGAAAAATACAGCAAAAAAACAACGAAACTTAGACAAATTTTTCAGTTTAAAAATTTTTCTAAGTTTTTAGAGGGATTTCCACTCTAAAAATATGAAATGTAGCTAAAAACATCTTAAAATTTATAATATAAGATTTCTAGGCATTTCTGGACATATAGGACCCCGCCGATAATGCGAAAGAACAAAATAAGAACTCCTTACATTCAATTCGTTGCCCGCCACTTCATACAAATAGCCCACGCAAATGTTTCGTTTGATGACGGCGATCGAGGGCAGGCGGCTCCGATTGAACTGCATGTTCTCGAAAAGGTAGGGAACCTAAAACGGCAGGGAATTGCAAAATATAAAAAAATAGATTTACCCTTTCCGACGACGCCTCCACGAAGAGCGTCGTAAAGTAGATCTTGGCGAGTTTTGTGAGCTTGAGTCGTAGCAGCTGCACGGATTCGGTATTCTGCCCCGTCAGCAGGCACACGACCTAGAAAAATACTTTTAGGGTTTCAGAAATCAGCTCAAACCGTGTCGGTCTTCTTGCAGTTGGCAAAGAACTCCTTGACATCGTTGACGTTCTTCAGGTCGCCGTGGCCACGTTCGATCTTCTCCTAAAAGGAAATAAATCCAGAAAAATAATTTTTAAGACATACCTGCTTCTCCGTCTGCGTCTTCTTCATTTCAGCAATTCGTCGCCGGCGTAGAGCGGCCAGTTCGTCCTCGTCCTTGCTCACTTTCTCCAGCTCCTGAAATGGAAATTCAGCTGGGATTGCGGGAAATAAAAATATCAAGTTCGGGCGAGCGTTTGAGCGGGTTGGTACTATTCTTTCTACTATTCTACCAGAGGTGGGCGTGCAAAATTTTTGAAGGCCCTTTCGGTCAGTTTTGGCGGCTTTCTTTCTGCTTCAGCTTTCGGGTTGCAAGGAGTGCTTTTTGGAGCCATCGAGAAAGTCATTCGATAGATAATTGAATTCCGAAAAGCCTATCGTTGTTCCTTTTTGAGGAATGGCTGTCTCAGGTTTTATAAAATTCATAAAAATTTGAAAGCGCCTTCGTGCTTGTAAGCTCAATTTCACTTAATCTTAACCTTAACCTTACGCAAATCTAACTAAAAAACTGACCACTAGCGTCTGGTCGACTTGGCGTTCGAGGACTTCTATCGTGCCGGCGAGCATGTTGTTGAGAGCAGCCTGCTGGGCGTCCATCGTGGCGTGTAGATCCGCTAAATGAATCAATATATATCTTAATAACATGCAGAAGGACAAGAAAGATAGAATATAGGAAATTTTAAAGTAATATATTAGAAGCAAAGATTTCGCCATAAAGCATCCAATGCATAGAAAATGATGGAAACCGGGCGCCCGGGCAACGCGCTACAAACCACAACTTCGGTGCGTTGGGTGGAGTGTTCGGAATTCAGGCGGGTATAAAGTTTTGCAAAAATTCAACAAAAATGGCTAAAAACTATTAAAATAATAAAAATTTTGTAGAAAGCATGAGTTTACGATGGGCATATTTTTCTGCGCCCGATCGATGCCTGTACAATTTTTTTAAACGCTTTAAAAAGGCCGATTGTGGTCCTAAATCCAGTTTAAAGGGGTCAGGAGTTCTAAAACAGGTGTTTGAAACTTTTTAGGTTGGAAAAACTCAGAATAAAAACTGTAGCTGCATTACACAAACAGTTGGGCAGATTTTTCCCGTACTAGCGCGGATAGCAAACGATCCCGGGTATGTAGGGTTCGGTGTAAATTTTCACAGGATATGAAATTTCTGCCCTCCAATTCTATTTAGCGATTTAGGCGATCAAAATGAAGCCGAAAAAAGCCGAAAATAGGGTGTTTAGCGAGCGAATGACGGTGAGCATCATCTGCTGCAACGAACCGTGCTGTGCTTTCACCCCCTATGGGCAGCGTTCCTGGAACCGTACGTGGAAAGGAGGAATCGTTTATATAAAAGGTACTTGGAGGATAGATACTAAAATAAATGTTTCATCACTATAACCTTATTGTTGAATTTTTAGCGGTAAATGGATTTCCAGATTCTTTCGTATAGGGGGTTTCATGGTAAAAGCCATTTTTTGTATTTGCCATTTTGCGTATATAAATAGAGGAAATACCTATGCACCATTTTTCAGTGTCACTAAGCTCAAAAACTTCCCAAAATTTTATTGGCAAGACACCAAAATCCGGTTTTTCGGCAAAATTTTTGAATTTTTAGGGATTTTAGAAGATTTTTAGCAAATTTTACTAAGAAACCACTAAAATACATACCTTTGCACTTTCATAAAGCTTTTACTGGCGGTATGCTTACTATATTAATTTGAGATCAGATTTTTACACGGATTGAAACGCTTGGATGGCTTTTTCATGTTAGTCTTTTTCTGCTTCCGAGGATTTGTATGGGTGTCTATGGTTGAGTGAGAGCTTTGCCCTCAATTCAGCGCTCTCCCTCTCTCTTCTCTCTCTCTCTCTCTCTCTCTCTCTCTCTCCTGTTGTATGCCAATGTGCCTAATAGGGATACATGGGGGAGTCCGGATCGAAATGCCGTGAGGGCATGGAGAAATGGCTCTAGGGGGCGGGGGCAGGGGGAGGGCGATTTGGAGGATCGGTCGAGTGGAGAATATTTGGGGAAAGTCGAGGAGGATGAGTGAGCACATTGAATTACTGTCTACAACCTCGGCTTCACGTTGCGAGTTGGATATTCAACTTTAAGCTGCGTTACTGATATTTTTTCTGAATTTTAAAGGCTGTTTTCGTTTTTTTCTGTTTTGGTTGATAGGCTTAGAGTTGGGCTTATTAGACTTAGGCTTGGGCCTGGGCTTTGCTTAGGTTTCGCTTAGCTGCGGCTTGCTCAGAAAATAGCTTTGTTTTGGTTGGCTTACCGTTACAGCTTGTAAACCTAGGCTTGGCTAGCTCAAGCTTACGCCTAGCGCATACGAAGGCTTAGGCTTAGCTTACCCGAGCTTCCTTAGGCTTAGGCGTAGACTTGCACATAGTCATAGGCCTATGCGCAGGCGCGGCATCGGCTAGGTTTGAGGCTTGGCTTCGCTTAGGCTTAGGCTTGGGTTGCTTAAGTTGCTTAGGTTTCGGGTTATGCGTAGGTTTGGGCTTGGGTTCAGACTTAGTTAAGGCTTGGCTCGGGCTTTAGGCTTAAGCTCAACCGAGGCTTGGTTTCGCTTAGGCTTCACTGCTTGGCTTAGGCTTAGGTTGGGCTTAGGTTTAGGCTTAGGCTTGAGCTTCGGCTTAGGCATGCTTTTCTGAGTGTTTCCGTCGTCAAGGCTGTCATCTACTCGCTCCCTCCCTTGCCGGTCTCGCCTCACTATCCGCTGGATCTTCGATTCCTAATCGTTACTGTATACTCTCGAGGGCAACGGCGTAGCTGAACACTTTTGACAGGTAGCTAAACCATCCAGAGGGCGTGTGACTGCCATTTGCCAACATTCACTCCCCCCCTGCAGTCACTCCTCCCAGTTATGGTCTCGAGTCTCGGGATCCAGTCCTCAATGCTTTCCCCTCTGTCTGTCTGTCTGTTTGTCTGTCTATATGTCCAGAATATCCCCCTCGATTCCTTGCAGCTTCTCCTCCAGAGAACACATCATCGATTTGCCATCCTCATCCTCAATCTCTCTTTCCCTCTTAATAGCAAGTTCATGCTCCCCTCCACTCCGCGTCTTCCAACTTTCACCCTCCGAATCTGTCGAAAAACTCAAAAGCCTTAGCCGCCCCTCCTGTCGCTTCGACCACCCACTTCTAACGTGCCGCCATTGACATTCCGCGAAATTCGAGTGGTTCTGGATCGTGCTTATCTTGCAATTTTGACGTTTCCGGTCGCTGTAATTGAGTTAGAAACGTTTAAAGGGATGGGCAAGGCATTTTTTAACAATGGATTTTGCTGGAATTTTGGGTTTCTTAACAGATTCGCTATTACGAAATTTCTTGATCTTGAAATTTCGACATCATGAAATTTGCGTGTTATCAAATTTCAACATTCTTAAATTTCAACATCCCAAATTTCGGTTGTTTGAACACCGGAAGCTTTAAAGAACCTTTTAAAGACTAAACCTTGCCTTTCCAGGCCCTTTAAAAAGTCTTGAAAACCCTTTTTTGCCGTTTCATTTATACTGTTATTTTTACGATAATCGATGCGGTCGATAATCGGCCCCTTTCCTCGGCTGGGTCTCGACAAATACGGTTCTCGCATACCCTTCTCTAATTTTTTTGGTTATTGTTTTCCAGTTCTTGTTTTGCCTTTGTATCGTCTATTATCGTTTTCTTTTCTTCGTCTTCGTCTCATCGTTTTCTTTGTTGCTCGAAAGTACTAAAATTTACCGAATTTTAGTAAATGAGCCGCTACCGGCCGGAAATGGCCGCGATAGTCCTGTGGACACTCGTCGGCCGGGGGTTCTCGTCGAATATCCCTTGCGGGAAAGCGTTCCCCTGTGATACGGCTTCACAATTGAAGGTAAGGTTTAAGCCTAAGCCAAAGCTTAACCTAAGCTAAGCCTACGATAGCCGTTTTAAAAAACACAATTTTTTTTTCACAAAAATAGCAGATTTTCGACCAGAATCTGATTTTAAAGCTGAAGCTTATGCCTGGCTGCGTTAACCTGAATTTTTCAGGCGAGCGAGATCGCGGTGACAATGTTCGGGAAGGACGTCGATCCCGAAAAGCATTTGCTGTCAAAGGGGTAAGTCTCCAAAGCCTTCTTAAAGCGGCTCTGGCAGCAAGCCCCTTTTTTCCACGACTCGTGGAAGCGTCGCGGTCGGGTGCGTCGCGGCAGGGAGAGAAAGAGCACGCCCAGAGGAGAGACGCAGACAGAACTCTGCGTCTCTGCCCGGTCCCCAAAATGCCGTAATCGGTGTGCTGCCAGAGCCGCTTTAAAGTCAAGGTACTATTAATGCATAAATCCACCAGCTAAGCTAAAATATTTGCCTTATCGACATCTTTAAAAAAGCGCCGTAAAACATTCCGAATTTTTTCTGTTTCAGAATCCCGAACGAGCTGTTCTGGGTGGCGGCGGGTGAGGCGAGAAGCGAGACCCTCGGCCTGTTCAACCATACCGATGCCGAGTTAATATATTCTGGTATGGGTTGCCTTTACGGTACTATACATTTACCGTAACCCTCTAGGCCATCGTCTCTCCCCATCAGCCGATCAATTTGTGTTGATGCATCGTGTCGATAGGAAGGCGTCGGAACGGGCACGGGCTGCCCATGTTAGTGTGGCGATGAGCAAGAGGCTTGCACTGTGAGTTTGTGTTGAGTGGAAAAAAGGAAATCAGCACTTAATTATTCGCTCGATGCGTAACATCTTTTTATTCAGGCTCGGACTGAAGGAGCGTGACTTCCGGCTGGGCGTTCCGAATAAGGTGGTCGAAACGGTGCTGGGAGCCGAATGCCCACTGCCCACACTGGAGCAATGTCCCGGCACTAGATATCGGTACGCTCACAATACTAAAAAGGAAACGGTTCTGATTCGTTAGCGGGGGAGGTGGCCATGGCCACTCCGCTACCCTCTTTACCCCCGCGACAGAACATGTAAAAACCGAAAATTGTGTACTACAAAATAAATTCTTCAAAATGTTGACAAAACACTTTAATTTTAGGTCTTTTTCCGGTGTGTGCAACAACGTGGCGAACCCGGAATGGGGCGCATCGCATACGCCATTTGCTCGCTTTCTGAAGCCGGATTATGCCGATGGAATCACACAATTCAGGGCGGCCAAGTAGGTGTTTTAAAGCATCGTTATGGGTAGGCTCAGGCTTAGGCCTAGCTTAGGTTAAGCTTATTAGCTTAGGCTTAGCTTAGGCATAGCTTAGGCTTGGCTTAAGCTTGAGCCTAGCTTAGGCTTAGCTTAGGCTTAGCCCGGGCAAAGCCTTACAAGGGAACCACCTAAGGTCAAGGTGGCGTTTTGTTATGGGACCTAGCTTATTTTGTGCAGAATTTTTTTGCTGATTTCGAATTCGCTTTTATTTTTTGCTAAATAGCCCAATTTAAAAAGTTATAGCGTTTCAAAGTTCCATTTTTTCCCAAATTTTCGAACTTCAAAGTCATTTATCTTGCCTTTCCCGTCTGATTCCTCAAAAACGAATATCGCCATCGTATTCAGAAAAATTTTCTCTATCAAATGAACTATTTAACTCAAAATTGTTAAAAATTGAAAAAATCGACGATACTTGGCATGGACTCCGTTTTTTGTATGGGA